AGCGCTTACCAGGATGTCGTCCATAGCGAAATTTAGCAGGAAGGGTGATGCTGAGCAACCCTGTCTCCAGCCACTGGTGACACTACAAGGTGGTGGACGTTCGCCGTACACCCGCATTCGTTCCGATGTTGACCTACTTCTCAGGCACTCTCCTTCTCAAAAGACGGCTCTAGGGAACAGCTCGGTCAGCTGAGTCGAACGCAGCTCGTATTTTTAAAAAGACAGATCGTTGGCCGGCCGAACGTTTGACGACGCTCGAGTATTTGTCCTACAGTAAATATGTGATCGACAAGAGCGAAACCCAGCTTGCTCCTCGTGTATATTCTGTTCGCATACCAGGCTTAGCCTCCTTACAAGCAGGGCGTTAAGCAACGCTCTGCCATCTGTGATATGCATAGTCTGATCGGGCATCCTTTTTGAAGACGAGCACGATGTCCACCAGACTCCAATCAGACGGGATTGCTTCGGTGGTCCAAACCTCTTGGGAGAGGGAAGTTAACTCGCGAACGAGGTAGGGACCTCCATCTTGGAAAAAAGCCGAAGGGAGTTCTTCTGGACCTTGGGTTTATATCGTTTTAGGAAGCGCAGCTCATGAGCAACCTTAGCCTCAGATGGGGGTGAAGCGTCTACAGTCCAGGGTCTAATCTGGATTCCGGAATGGGAACACATCGCTGCTGCTGACCATTTAAGCTGCTGCTCAACATGCTCAGCCCAACGCTCAAATTGGCGTTTTTGACGGTGGATTGGCTCGCCATTGATTTCGCACAAAACCGCCTACAGTCCGCGTTCTGCTGCCCGTGGATCGGATTAGGTAGAAAAGCTTGCGGAAATTCCCCGACCTCGCCGCCTGCTCCATATCAATGACCCGTGGCGTCCACCAGGCCTGGCGATCTTCCCGGAAGAGCCGTTTGAGTTGTGTTAGTCTTGCGTAGTGCATAAGGCTCATCGCCAGCTGTAATCGCCCAATAATCTTCGAGAATTTGGAAGCATCATGCTGAGATCCAGTGGTAGCCATGATTACTGATGAAACCGCAGACTAGGATCGCAGCATTGTGCATGGCGCTGCGCATGTGTGTCCAGTGCGTTTTAACGTCAGAACATGAGGTGCTTTTGTGATTTGAGGCAAACGCATCCTGAAACGCGCCGAGTACGCTTAGAGCAGAAAGCTTAGACACATCAAGCCTTTCCCGGTGACGCCGGTGGGAGCCACCAAAACCTATAGTGATCTTGGTACACACGACCGCGTTATTTTGGAATGAGGTACGTACTCCAGATCGATTTTCAATCTTGTATGCAACCCCACCAGCGCTAATTGATGGCGATGTGGTCAATTTGCGTCCATGGCTGGGCAGGAGATGGAGGCCTCCAGGTCGCGGATTGGCGCCTGGATCGCCGAAAGCTGGTACTCGACAGGAACAGGCTGTGATCGGCGCAGAGCTGTGGTAGGCGATCACCGTTGTCTCTTCTGCGAATGCCATGTCCGTGTTGACCACCGAGTTCATGTTCTTCAATCTCAGGTCTACCGACCGGCGCGTTTAAGTTACCTGTAAGCACCACGATGTCTTTACGGATTTTTTCGGAGGAAGCCGGACAGTTGACAGTATAACTCTTCTTTAACTGACTCCGGGCTACTGTCTGGGGGAGCGTACGCTGCCACAGCGAACAAGCGTCTGCTAGTCCCACGACTTGAAAGTCGCATTGAGGTATCAAATCGGATCACGCAGAGTCGACTGTTGACAGGAATCCAGTCTAGTAGCGCGGCCTCAGTACGTGTGCTCAACGCAATCCACACGCCGGCAAGACCACCGGCTTCGGCGGTTGCGTCTCTGGATAATCGCAATGTATAAGTATCAGTGAAACTCATAATCGGGAATAGCGGTCCTGTCGTCGTGCTAGGGTCCTTTAATCGGGTTTCAGGTAAGCGGCAGACATCGATGGCAGTAGTCTCAAGCGTACGAGCAAAAGCCGCTTGTGATCCGATCTGCATCAGCGTCCGGACGTTATAGGTTTCCAGTTTCAATTCGGAACAGGGCGCTAAAAAAGACTTACCAGTACTACCTGGCGGTTCAACCTCGGACGTAAATTCCTTATTCGTGTGGCGAGAATACTCCTTCCAAGGCGGCACGGTGTTGTGGACTCGGAAGCGGAAGGGGATTACTAATGATGGGGGAATTGAACAAACGTGGAATAAAGTAACCGAACTGTGGTGCGGTAGAGTGTGTTCTAGCGTGTTGGGCCGCCAGCATCTCGGCCGATGGTAGCAGTGCCAAGAGCGGAGAGAGCAGAAAGTCCTTGAGGCATACGCTCTCGAATGTTTACTTATTGAAACTAAAGCATATCCAGCACATGCCTTTTAACGTCGTACCTAGGACCTTATGTAAATTACTTAATCCTTCAACTTACATTCCGAACCTTTAGTAAGAAAATACTGTTAAAGGGTTTAATCGAAACACCACTGGTTTCCTCTGTCACACATATTTTCGAGTGGATCTCCAGCAAATGCTCCTCGGGGTCATACACATTGTTTTTGTACTGAATTCTTCGAATTTAAACTGTTTGCATCCGCCTGACCAACGCTCCTACAAGCCTACTGACCGCCCACCTCAGCTTGTCCTTTCACGAATATTCAGTATATGTGCCTAGAACGGGGTTCTCAGTCAGTGGTATGACGAAGCGCGTTGATCGTTCTAATTCGCAAACTTTCACTAGACGCCCGTAGATTCTTTTTATTGTGGATCTCGCTTTGCTCCGCGAAATTTCTAAAGAAATCACCAAAGCGGTTCCATGGCAGAAAGGATAAGGCGTCTGCCTTGTAACCTGGAGGTCGCGGATTCGAGTCTGCGTAGGGGACCAGGCGACCTTCGCAGTATCCTTTGCCCACACGCGACTGGTAGTGGTTGCATGGCAGCAACCGTCGCAACGAGGCTGGACCTTGAAGTGGTGCGGCGGTTTGCGTACTTCGTCGACCCTTTGATCTATACTGGGTGGGGCCTTTGGGCCCCATAAGAGCTACTCTACTTGGTTGGTCAATGGTTAGCGGTCAAACGAACTCAGTCTCTTAGTCCTCCACTTTTGGGGTTTGAAATTGGATGGCGTCCATTTCTGTAAAACCGCATCATTGCCACATTCGCTGCCTTGTGAACAGGCTTTTGAGTCTGGACGCCCTGGCATTATCTCAATCCAGGTACAACCATGACCACTTCAAATTTCAACCATATCCTGCATCGGCCGTTGCTTTGCTTACCGAGAGTGGCGCGAGCGTGCCCGCAAAGATGATGTGCGTAAGCGAGTACTAGACTGATAACCAGACTAATTCCTTTGAACAACATATAGCAATGAGTAAATTGCGTTGGTTTAGTCACGTACTACTTAACCTCGGTCACCGCTTACCGAGGAGGGCCTTGTTTTGTTTGCTGGATGAAGGCTGGCGCAAGGCTGAAGGTGGACAAAAGTTGACTTGGCAGCGAGAAATGAAGTCACTGAGTACTATACTCGGTGCCGCTAGTCTCTCTCGCCTTCCAGGCTGTATTCTACATGCCCCGCCTTATGCTTGGCTTGAGATTTTAGAGGACATAGCTCGCAGTCGACACCAGTGGCGTGTCTGCTGTAGTCTCCTAATCCGATTGCCTGTTTAAAGTGTGTTTTATACTGAGTTCCCTGCAGGGTAATGGCTGATTATGACACAGGACAATGAAAACCGCGAGGAAGCTGTCTCGCCAATGCCGCCTTATCTTTGCACGATTGCTAGCTGTCTGTGATGGTATGTTGTTGGCGAGGTGTAGGCGCCTTGACCCTGAATGCTCAGGGCATGAAGGTTTTCAGGTAAGTCCCCCTTCTCTCCCTCTTATTGTCCTTCTTTCCGTAGGTCATCATGGTTGTACGGCAGCGAAGCATGAGTTCGAATGGCTGATGTACTGCTGTTGATGATAATGATGCGTAGCAGTTATGCGTCGGTACGATGTACGGGCTTACTGCTGATGTCTTTTTTACTTAGCAACACCGTCACCACGCGTGGACTCAAACTACGCAGGGAACTGCTCTCACCATCCAAACCGATGTTATGTGTCTGTGCAACCTGCGCCGGCTCAACTTTGTCTGTCCCCAACGACACTATCTCACCAGCCGTTTCAAGTCGCAGTGGACTGACTGACCTGTGTTCAGGACACTGCTGTATGTACCGTCCCGAGCCGCACTGACCTAAACTGAGTTTTTCTTAGAACATTACCACTACGTGACAACTCATGCTTTGCCAACATGCGCGCTGCCAAATTACTGAGCCATAGATACGAGGATGTGGAAGGCATGTTCTGCTGTTCACTGAGTCGTTAAGTGTCCAGTCTTTCTTTTTATTTTCTCGGCACTGTCGTGCGAGGTTGCGCGTTTCGTTTACAGTCCTAGTTCGCGCGTACAGCATTTGGCGGCAAGGTCACCTATGTCGCACCTTTCCGAATTCATTGGGATAATCTGTACTTGTAGTACTATCGATGTAGAGAGTTTCGTCCGTCCCGTCTAGGAGTCTAAACAACTAGAACGTGTTGTAACACCTTCTGGCACATTGTCCTTTTCGCTGCTTATTTTAATCCCACATTTTCCAACGAGCGCCATTTTGTTTTTTTCACATATTTTTTCTCAAATGTGTTTGACCACCTGATCTGAGTTCCCATTGGGTTCTGTTCATCTGGAATCCACATGCAGTCGCTACTGTGATCATGTGGTATGGCTAATTTATCTTTGCGTCTTTTTTGCGTTAATCAAATTGACTGTATGCCAATTGGTACGAAGGGATTGGGGCTGATCTTTATCAACCTTCTCATCCTCACTGCGGATGATCTCACGCGCACGTGACGTAACCCTTGGGTAGTAGGCTACAATATCAGGTTCTCTGGATTTTCTTGCACGCTTTCCATTTTTCAGACTCTTACTCCTCCATTCAGTTCGTTTATGTTTTCATAATCGTTCAAGTCATGCGTATGCGTTTATTTCCTTTTTTCCGATAACAGGCGGGCCATCCATTATCCAATATCATATTTGCCCTGAAAAACGTTTCATTCTAACTAAGGATACCGATGGCAACGTCGCTGTGTTCGATGTTCTTAAAGTGAGCAAGTGTTTGTTTCGGTTTAATAGGTTGTGTCTACTCTACACTTACACTGTTAGAGGAACGAATCAACCGAGCCTGATTGGTTGGTCGGTGGCACAAACTGCCCTAGCCAAATCCTCTTAATCTAACGAGTTCGCAAGGAACTCAATCTGAAATTCAGTTCAGATCTACGTATATTCACTAATTAAGTTCAGTTCATAATGTGAATACATTTGAATTTTCTTGATTTGTATCAAACCCCTTTTCCTCCGGTGCCTTCTGTAAAACACAGTTGCTTCTTAAGACAGCTACTGCAGTTGCCGATGGTCTCATGTTCTCACTACCATGACTAGAAGCAGTCGCGGGACCCAATACAACATTCACCAATTATCTTACTACTGCATCACGAGAAGATGAGATTTGTAGTTCCGGATTCTACGTTTGGGTCATTCTGCCGTAAACGGAAATCAACTAGTTATCTGATCTGGCTTATCACCTAACACCCATTAAAGCTCTTCAAGGTGTTTTTGCCTCTAAAATACCGATATTAGTGCGATTCACTTCGACTCCGCATGGAAATGATATACTTTTTCATATCACACTTTGTTTACTCTAAGTCAGGATAATTGTAGTTGACAGATTATCACTGACTGTCAATCGTTTCGGGCTATGCTTTACACCGTCTAAATGCAAAGCCCTTCTCCAACATTGACAGGTGCCCATTCTTGCGCTCGCCCTTGGTGCGGATCAGATAGAAGTCGTACAAAGATTCCACTACCTCGGCAGTTGTATCAGCGCCGTTGGAATTGAAGACGAGGTCACAAACCGTATAGCAAAAGCTAGGGACGTTTTTGCCAACCTTCACCACCTATGGCGCGGGCGTGACATCACTCTCTTTGAAGGGTGGAGCGTACAATGCATCCGCACTTTCGACCCTACGGTACGATTGTGAAACCTGGTCCATTAGATTAACCGACGTAAAGAGGCTAGTTAGGTTCAATCACCGGTACCTTCGCAGCTTGGCTCATATCTGCTGGGAACACAGCGTGAGCAATGAACGTGTTCGATGCCTTATGTTGCAGGAAGAGGAAGTGCACCGCTCAGCACCGTTATTTCGCAAACCAGATTCCGAGGGCTTAGCACATGTTGCGCATGTCAGCGCACCGACTCCCGCAACGACCGTTATTTGCACCGGGATGAAGAAGAAGAACGGGATCGAACCGACGACAGGATCAAGAGGAGTGAAGGCCCTTAGGTTGGGATCCGAAAGACGATGAACACATTTGGCGAGATACACTTGTTGACATGGCTAGGATCTGACCTTGGTGGCGTTTGTGTTGTGAGTTTCTTTGTCCATCCTGCTTACCCTCTCTAATGGAATTGAATGAGGAGGAAAACGACGAGTGAGAAGAGTGAGTCCGAGAGATTAGAGGCATGTAGGCTGAAATGAAATGCGGAATTATTATCATATACGAGCATTAAGTGAGAAATTCACATATCAGTAATGACCAAATGAACGATAGACACATTTAACTTACTAATGAGGAAAAATGTGTCATCCTCGGGTTGTTCGGTCCCCTGCGACCACCGCCTTTTGGTTTGTTTATCCTTGGCTAACTCTTATTGCTCTAAATCTACTCGTCCTGATTTATTCTTTCGCAGGCACCATTCGATGCATTTGCTTGTGATTCGTATACGTCTGTACTTTTCTTCAAGGATTACCGAGGATCTGAATGACTGCTAATAAACCAGGGCGCTACTTATAGCACAAAGCTAAGTACCTATTAATCTTTAAGCTCACATCATGTTTTATTTTATGCGCTAGCCATTATTGTATTCTGGCTGTTCGAGCTTCCAAGACTACATCGCGTCTACCCTAAAAGTGCGCCCGGTTACTTGATACTCACCCATTTTGTTTTCGTTATGATTAGGCTCACTTGGTTGAGAACTTGGGCTCCGTGGACTTCGAAGAGGAAATCAAGAAACGAGACAAATTGGTATATGTACCAAACTGGTTTAGTGTGGATTTGAAATGCGGCGTAAGTGCTGTTTAGTCATGTCATAACTATTCCATCTCCCTTCACTATAACTTGAATGAATTTGAAGACGGTGTTTCCGAACAGCAGAATAAAGTTTGGACACGTTCATCTCATTGGTATTCTAGTGATTGTGACGTTACTTCTTGGTCCATTCCCTCCTGCATGATAACATCGATCTCACCTACTCCCTCAGGATGACGAGAACAGCCATGGGCTCTTTTTTGGTATTTTTCCAGATGCCCATTATTCATCTGGATGAAGCAGACTGCTTTGCAGCCAACGTGACCGTCGCGGACGCAGGTCTAGTGGAAGAATTTGTAAATCTAGACGGATCCTTGAAATACAGCCCTGACACAAAAGGTGAGAGCCCCACTTGTACTTTCATGGCATTGGAATATTTTTCTTTGCGCTCGGCCCAAACCATCCTCGTCACAAGCCAAATTGCTTTATCAGTGTGGTTGCCTTTCGAATTCGCCTGCTCTCTCACATACAGGATAGGTAAACGTTTATGTTTTCCTTAACATTTGACGATACATTGAAGAATAAAATCATTAGAAATCCGTGAGAATATTTGTAGCTTGGAATGCGGATGAGGGTATGCGGGTGTTCTCCGAGCTGGCTGATTTGGCTGCAAACCTTTCATCGTCAGACTAGACGACATCATCAGTGCGATTTATGCGGGCCACTTGCAGATCCAAGTGATTATTGATCACTTGTTTCGAACGTCAGGAGTCGATTGGTCCACGTGAACTGACCGTGTAGTCAGCTCTCTCGTACTATTGGCTAGAGTCCGCCTCAATGATGTTCCTTCGTCCACTTGATCTGGGGCGGACTATTCTTTTGACCCTCAGTGTCTCATAGGCAGTGTCTCGATCTAAGTGCCTCTTGATTGAGTTCTCTCCCGAGTACCAAGCCTCGATGAACTCGTGTGCTTTTCGACCTTTTGCTCTGCCTATGATCCTGACATTCTCCAAATCAAATTGATGATTCTCGGCGTCCATATGTACCGACACCAGGGAGTTCTGATCATGTCGGCGGATGGCTAAGCTATGCTCATGTAGCCTAGTGCCGAGCTTTCTTCCTGTCTAGCCCACATAGTATTTGTTACAATTTTTGCAGTGGATTTTGTAAAGCACACTACTTGTTTCTTCGTTGCCAAGCCGATCCTTACCATTGGAGAGTTTGTCTCGGATGGTTTCCGTCGGCTTGTGAGCAACTTTGATTCCGAAAGGTCGTAGGAGTCTCGCCGCCATCTCAGAGATACCGTTGATGTATGGTAGAGTGATTGTCCTTTTATCCGCTTCTGATGTTTGTTCTTGTGTCGGTCATTGTATTGGTGTTAAACAACGTAGAATGAAATTTCTAGGATACCCATTTCGTGCAGACATTTCGAACAGATGATCTTCCTCCACTTTTCTCAGCTGTGGGGTGCTGCAATGAATAAACTCATTTATAATTACTTCAGCTGTGTGTAACAAAGCGCTTTCTGCACACGGAATGTATGTCTCCCTAACCTACTAGATTCGGGCTTTATGTTCGCTTTGTAGATGATTCGTAATTGACCTCTTCGGCCCTTTCTCCTTTTGGTTGCCTCAGTTACTAATTCCTGTTGTTAGGTTGCTTACCCTTGCCGGCACAAGTTTCAGGCATGCATTGAATTGGTCTCTAGGTCCACTCCACAGTCAGCTGCTGACGGTGAGCCACCAAAGCATGGTAAATGTGGACGTTTTGTAGGGACCTGTGATAAAACTGATGTCTAGATGGTCTCCGCTGGATGTACCTTGACCCATTTTGATCAAATGAATGACAGTTAACAACCTCCAGTCATGGGGTTCGCTCCCTCCTTCCACCAAATTGTATTGACCAGTTTGCTTAAACCGCTCCTATTTTTTAACAAAGATGTTTGGAGGTCGTTGGGTCCAGGCACCAATTGCTATCAGCGCTTATCGATGGTGACACTTTTTGCGCCCACTACCCAAGTAGTTTCACCTTCCTGAGTATCAAATGGGATGCGCTTGGCCGGTTGCTTTGAATGCATGAGACGACTGCGACGTCAGCGCCTGCGTCCTCTGATATTTTTATTTGGAGTTACAAAGACAATTTCATGTTTCATCTATCCATTATGTTCTGTCCAGTGATCTAATCGCATTGTTTGGGAGTACATCAGCTATCCATTTCTTCGACCCATTGTCTCGCTTTCGGAACCCTTTCTTCCATCGCAATGAGGCTGCACCTTACTGTGATGCGATGGTCTGTGTGCCTCAGAAATCCATTGAGCTGTGCTGTGTGTTGCTTTTTGCATCTTCAGAGCCACTCATACCAGATTCGTCAATGGTTAGAGGCCAGACCTACTCAGTCTCCTGGTCCTCCAGGTTGGGAGTTGGAGTGAGGACTCCTTGTAGTCCACTGCCAAGCTCACGGTCAGGTTTTTGAACCAAAGGCTTTGTTTGAGAACTTTATTCGTTCTCCTGTCTAGGCCTGGACAACCTGTTAGTATCCTGCCCACACAATACTATGAATCTTTCCTCAAGCAACTTATTGATGCTCTGTTTGCCGCAGGGAATAATCAACAACGTCAAATCTGCTGCATTGTGCAAGCTGGATGGGGGTTTGGATCCTGCTGCTCAAGCCCTCCCGTCTTCTTATTCCCCCTCACGTTTTTTCACCCTTATGGTCCCGTTCCAACTTCACTTTTATCCCCCTGCTTTCAATCCCTTCCCAACTCTTCTCCCTCCCCATCTTGTTTTTATATGTGTTGATCTTCTGGTTTTAACTCACATACAAACGCCGAGCTTCACTCCTTCCTGTCGACAAGCCCATCTCTAACCAAGCAGACAAACCCAGCTCATCGGCTTCCATTCGTAGCCCTCGATCCTCCCTCAGATTGGCACGCTTCAGCGTACGCACATAATTAGAGATCGGTCAATAGGCATCCCTTTTCCGAACATTAGAGACCTTCTTGATGGATATCTGGTGCTTCTCGGAAACCTGCCTGCAAGACTCGAGCTCTGTGCTCGATTTGCGATCCATTTGAGGCGACACTGGCAGTGCTCTCACGTTACGCTTATCCGTAGACGATACAACTTCGAGTGCTGATCAATCCGGTGTTGGTACTACCTTGAGTCATCGGTCTGAAGCTGCTCTGGCTGATTGGATCCCGCGGGGTGTATGCGGTTCGATTGGTTAGGTCGTTCAAATCTTCGAAGTCGCGTGGCGCTAATAAGTGTCTATATCATCGCTGCTTATGCCGCCACAAACTCTAGCGATGATTCGGTAAAAGACGACTTCTATCGTCAACTGAACGAGCCCATTCGCCACACGAAGCACGAACACTATAGTGCTGGCTGGGGATCTAAACATTCAACTAGGAATATTGTCCGCTGATGAGCTGCATCTGGACAGCCAAAATGGTGTAGGCTCCCGTAATGCTAACTGTGAGCGGTTACTTCATTTGTGTGAAAATGTTCGCTTTTTTCTTGCGAGCACTAACTTCCGACACAGTGTTCACCACTCTTGGACGCAAATCGGTCACATTGCGATAAGTTGCCGATGGAGAGGCTGCGTCCAGAACTGTCGCTCGATTTGAAGCACATGTGTAGGCACTGACCATGCATTTGGATATGCTCATCTGCGGGTGCGTTTTGGCGGTCGCCCTCGATGACCCTGTGAGCGCATAGACACCAGCAAACTGTCGAAGCCAGCTGTTCTGAATGCCGATCAAAGTACGCTGACATGCAGGTTGAGTAAGCGCTCACTGGAGACAATTGAAGGTCACTGGTCTCATATTCACCAGACCTTACTAGCAGCAGGCAAATCCTCATGTGGTAAGTCTACTAGCCAACATGGATATTGGGTCTCTACGCAGCCTCTGGAAATTATCGATGCTCGTCGACGTACTTCATCTGGAAACAGACACAACGAGACTTGCAAAGAAATTAGGGCAAAACTCGTGCTAATCTAAAGAGAGGCTGTGAAGCGTGGTGGTCTCATCGTACATCAGAGATGGAACCTATCGCTTCCTTTGGAACCATCAAATTCTTGGAATATGCTAAGAATATTGCTCTCATCATCTGTGACATCTCCCAGATGTGCCAAGCAGCACTAGAGAGATTAGAACTGCCTGTCAACCGCTTCATGCTTTGCTTTGCACTTTCACTGTCTCAAGCTTTCCTGCAAGATTGGCAAGGATCGTCTCCTGCGCTGTCCCTTAGTGGTATCAGCTAGAAGTACTTCAAAGGTACTACTACGTAGGCAATTGTATCATCGCCTGTGGAATCGTATACGCGATCACGATCCACATAGCAAAATCTGGAGGCGTTTTTGCTCATCTCCGCCATACGTCGCGGCGGCGCGACGTCACTCTCTATCTGAAGGTTTGCGTTTACAATGCATCCGTACGTTCGACTCTACTGTACGATTGTGAAACCTTGACCATTCAATCGACAAACATCAGGAGGCTAGCTAGGTTTGATGACCGATGCCTTCGCAGTTTAACTCATTTCTGGTAGGAACTCCGTGTGAGCGTTTGCTTGTTCGACGCTTTTTTCATGGTACAGGAGCAGGAAGTGAACCGCTCATCACCGTCTTATCACGCACCAGGCTCCGATGGCTGGGCCAGGTGTTTGCTTGCCGGGGTTTTGGATTTAAGAAGTGGAGGGGAGGTTAAGCAATGACTTTGTCAAAAGAAATGAAGGCCCGTAGTTCGGAGTTGGCCTCGCTTGGAGCCTCTCGACTCCCTGGTTAGGGACAGAAAGACAATTAACACGTTTAGCTGCATACACTTGTTGGCATGGCCAGGAACCGACCTCAGTGGCGTTTGTCTTGTGAGTTTCTTTGTCTTTCCCCCTCCAATCACGATATCATTTAGTATGCAGATTATAGCTCTTTCTTACGGCACAATAGCCGACTGCTAGTTCTCCGGAACGATGCCCATACCATGTTTCGCATGTTTTCTTCTTTTCTTACATATTGCGGTACAATAGCTGAGGTGTTTTCCACCTCTAGCTAACGTTTATGATGAAGATGATGGAACGCTTCCTTAAACCTGTGCGTCGAAGTAGTTGGAACGACGTCCTTGTGTTCCGAATAGAAGTAGCCTTTATCATCTAACGAGCCGTCGCCGTTCATCAACGATTCGGGTCAACCGTTGCTCTCTTTTAATTACTATCTAGCATGTAACGCGTACTTTCAAATTGACCTCCCTACGAGATCACCTTGTATGCTTCATTCAAATTTAATGATGCTCCAGAAGTCATTTCAATATTCAGCCGCATTTAGCTCAGCGAGCGTTTTCTACAGTTTTCTGCACAGTCTATCAGTGGTGATTTCACTTCACGCCGGGTTAATCCTCTTCACTCACC